TATTATCTGGTTATATGTACGTACTGGCATTATTCAGTTTTTTGCATTCCTTCCACCATTTTATTTTTTGTCATTGATTAGTTTATCAAGCTCTCACCTGGACTTAAACCTCTGAGTCCCGCCATGCTTCCATTGGAGGATTTGAGAGATGAAGAGGATGGTGTTTTGTAAATGGAGGCTACCGCAGCTAAAAAACGTGAAGTGGAGCGGTTTTTTTTAGTTCCCTTTTCGTAATATCTGCTGCAGTTAGCATATTGTTCAGATTTAGTAGCAAAGATACAATCGCTTTGACGACAATAAACCGGTTCAGTTGTAAATCCACCAGTCTCTAAATGAACTGCCCGTGAAGCTATTCCAAGAGATCGCCAAAGGCATTCCTTTTTTTGATCTTTCCTTATTCGCACAATTTTTGTGAGTTTGAGGCCTCTTTCTTCCTGCTGTCAGAATTTAAAGCTTCTCCCTATTTGTAATAAGGTATCGTGGGGCTCAGAAATGGTAATCCCAATGCTCCTCGAGTACTTGTAGGGGGTTGAAAACCGATTCTCGCCTGGCGGCTGCTCCAAATCTTCTATAGCAGGTTTGCTGGGAATGAGTCGCCTATCTTCTGTCAGGAAGCTCCTCTGATCCAAGTCTAAATACAGTTGTCCACCTTCAGCTTGTAACTGGCATTCTTCATAGCCTTTCAATCATTTTATCTTCGTACACGGTCTGCGCATTCATCATCACGCGTAGACTGGGATTGTCTCCATCTAACAAGGCGCTCTCTTTCAGTTTGCCATAATCAGTGAATCCCCCTGTTTTCGACTCATTTCGGGAGACAGCAATTGCAGCTTCAGGATCATGTTTTTTACACCAAAGTAGCATGGGTAGAAGGTGATACCACAGCGATGAAGAAATGCCGCTAGAAGAGGTTCGAATAAGTGTGTGCAGTCTTAAGTCGACCCAGTTTTAGTTTTTCTACTTTTTTTTAAATTTTTCTTTATTTTTTTGCCTTTCTGATAGGCAGCACTATACGAATGATCGGTGACTAACCAAAGTCGGCGAATACTGCCCAATTCACGTCATTCAATGAGTCACCTTCAATCGATTTTTCTTCGATTTTTCTTGAATCTGCAAGTGTTTTTGCCGTCTCTGCTAATTTTCTTAGTTGTTTTTTCCCGAATTTCCTTACGTTTGAAAAAAAAAACTCCTTCACCTGTTGATTGAGATGTTCCCTTTCAGATGGGCTGCAGCCCTGGATCGCGGCTACTCAGCCTTTGGTGGTGGTATGTGGAGGTACGTTGTTTATCCGAAACCACCTGTTAACATTTTAATTTGTCAATTTTGAATTGCTAATTGTTTTGCGGTGCTAAGTGAGTTTAGGGTGGCGGGACCACGCATCGGCGTCGTTTTTCAAGCGCAAAGGGACTAACAATAAGCCTGAGCTTAGGAAGGAGTTGGAGCTGTGAACGTTATGATTTTGATTGACTTTTGACACATTTGAGCTTTCTTAGATCCAGGTTCAGTGCCAGTGCGTTGGACAGACGCCGCGCTGTCGTGTGGTCCCCCCTAGCTCACTTAGCACTGTTTTTTTTTTGTTGAATGACGGAAGTGCAGGAAAAGAAGTTCTCCTTCAATCTACAGGGTGGGTGCCAACAAAGGAAACGGCGCGCGCTCACCAAAGTCTCCGATTTTGCTTCAATCTTACTCTTACTTACCCACCCTGAAGTTCCCTTCCCGTACGATAAACAAGATTTCTGTATGGGGCACTAACTACTGCACCAAAACACCCCTTTTCATTGGAACAGCCAAATGTCCCCAATACAATCCAATTTTTTAAGTATTTTTTTCGTAAAGGTAAACTTCTGAAGTATCGCAAGAGTTTGCCTCCTGTCTCATGTCAAGTTTCATTCCTCTTGGACTTTATGATAGAATGAAAACCCATTTTCAGACGGATTCCTTAGCAACTGAAAACGAGTTGAAGCGCCTTGGAGAGCATAAGTATTCAGCAGTTGACAATAGCTGGCTGGATGAGCTATGCATGAAGAGGTATTTATTTTTAATTTGTTCACTATTCAGAAAATTTTGTTATTGTGATTGGTTTCAGGTGGTGGGAATATGTGGTAACGTGGTGTCCGATGTGGTTAGCACCGAATTTAATTACTCTTATTGGTCTCATTATCAACTTAGTTACTGTTCTAGTTTTATCGTCGTTTTCCTATTCGGCTACTGAGCCAGTAAGTTTTTTAATCCCCTTCTAACATACTTGTGCACTCGCTAGGATCGCTCGCTGCCTAGCTAGAAACTTGTGTAAAGCTTACCTGCGATTGGTTGTCGTTAGCAATCCACCAATCTGCGTAGCGGCATGCCTCAGCCTGGAGAAGATTACAAAGTCGCCTTTTGCTTGTCTTAGTACTAACCAGTTTACGTTTTGAATGGGGCCCTGCTTTCAGGCTCCATCCTGGGCCTATGCCCAGGCTGCTCTAGGACTATTTCTTTATCAAACGCTAGACGCTATTGATGGCAAGCAAGCACGGCGGACAGGCTCGAGCAGTCCACTGGGCGAGCTGTTCGATCATGGATGTGATAGTATGACTCAAGGTAATTTCTAATTTTTTTCAGGACTAGCAAGCCTATGAAACCTTTTTGATGCGAGTATGGATTCGTGGCGCAAACCACAACGCTTACCTTTCGCTGTGGTGTTTATTCACTTGAAGTATCTATTTCTTTATAGTGTTTGTAACTTTGAATATCTGCTACGCGATGTCGTTGGGAAATATGCCAAATGGAGTGATCTTCGTTTCAATAGTCTCGGTGGTGATGTTCTATGCAGCTCACTGGTCCACCTATTGCACTGGTCAATTACGATTCTCCAGGTGCTGTTTTTTATATTTGAATCTTCAATCATTGAAATTATCAGTCTTCAAAGTTATTGGTCTGTTGACGTTGCTGAACATTAGTGTTTTTCAAGTATCTTTCTGTTGGCAAAACTCGGTACTTTTGGTCTATAGAGTTCGCTTCCCTCGTTACTGCTTAACTGGTGCTTCTCCAAAAAGATATGGCATCAGTGAGATTCATTGGTAAATGGCTTTACGGCAGAAACTATATTCTGGTAATGTGATGGGAGCAGTTCAATTGACATAGAACATGGCTGACAATCATTTTACATTAGCTAGTAGTGGGCGTTGGTCGAAGAGTTCCAGCTGCTGCAGCGCGACTATAGGCGTCGCAAGTGTCGTCGCGTAGACGAGGTATGTATAGCGTCGGGTGTCGCGGGCGAATCATCGCGCTGTCGCGGAAGCAGTGATCTAGTTTTAGCCAGCCACAGCATGAGGGATCTTCGTCTCACATACCGATAGCTTCCCAGCTGTCATAATTCACTATTGCTTAACACCTTGGAGCTCATGCAGCCCACATGTGGGCTAGAGGCTGTCAAGTTGTGGGCTATACGGTCCATACCTTGACAGAAGTGCTAAATTTTTCTTTTATTTTCTATTCCATTTCATTCAATAAGATTTCTTTTAAGCTATTTAATGGGTTTTTGTTCCCAATTGATTGATAAAATTACTAAAAAAATACCAGTGAAGTCCAAGGCGGCCGCAAAACGTGAAACATGCGCGGTCTCCAACGTGTTAATAGCAGTCGCTTCGGTAATAAGAGTAGGGGTGGGTGTGAGAGTGTGCGATAGCAACCATGACTTACGGTGCTCTTTTAGGTTCGATGTCACTGAGGCCCAGATGTCTGTAATTTTGGTACTCATCACTACGAGCATATTTGGTAACTCGTTTTGGGATATCGGCTTGGTGAGGGTTTGCTGAAACCTTCCAGATTGTTCGCTTTTTTCTCTGTTTAGAAAAACTTTGCAGATTGGCTCTTGGAAACTGCGGCATTTGGTTTTCTTGTCGTCGATGATTGGATCGGGATACCAGATTTTGGGATACGTGAACGTCATTATCCACGGCGGTGTCGGCAAAAACGGTTCAACAATAGCGGTAGGTAACATTTTCCCTGAGCAGCTTTCGATTTCTGTATGTTGGCTCTGTACGGCTTATTCGCGATAAAGGTGGCTGCGTTTTCTAGTCTTGTTCGGTTCTATTTCAAAATGATGATTCTGATGAAGTTGATTTCGCTAAAATTAAGTGGAAGGCTAACAAAGGAACCGGCGGATGTCGGGTAACCTCTTTGGGGTGTGCCATGCCTTCGGCTTCCGTTCTGGATTGCAGCAAATATTTTGCGGTAACTGCAGTTGAGTCGCTCATGCCCTCTAAATGTGTCTTGATATCAGTTCCATTCTGGAGCGGAGTGGATCAGGGTTGTAGGATCCTTGGCAAAGGGTCGTGAGAGGAAGGAATCTTATTTAGCTTTAGATGGTCGCGTGACATAATAAATAAAATTTGTTGTTTTAGCGGTCCCAAGGGGAGGAAGCGGAGAGACGGGGATGTATTTTACGTGATTTACACTGCGGCTATAGCACTTCATTGTAGTTGGTATGGGCGAGATTCGGATCCACCTACCAATCTAAACGCCTCTCATCCATGACGCTACCTTCGTGTCAAAATAACGTGAAATTCTGAAAATTCCAGGTGATTTTTCAGGGTACATCAGTGATATTTCCTCTTTTCCCTCTGCTAATGGTAGTGGTTCCGTTCTGTATGATCTATTCGCGTGCAGAGACTGCAGTTTATGATGAACATATCACACTGTTTATGCTGTGCTTCGGCGCTGTTGGTAAGCTTTTGTAAATGAGCTTACCGTAATTCTTCCAGTATTTTGCAAGGTTGAGGATTTCAGGCGCAAAAGCAACGAATCGCTTAGTTATCGCTCATATGAGCAAAAGTGAGCTGCGACTATGGGATTGGATCTACTTAGGTCCATTACTGCTGATGCTCAATCAGTACTACAACACCGTCTTTGATGAACTTCTACTGCTTCGATTGGTTACGGTATGTCCTAAAAGAATTCAGCTAGACACACCGTCCAAACCGTCCATTCGGACAATTTGACCAAGGAGGGAGGGCCATATCTGTGATCAGTGAAAAGTGTGGAAAGGTTATGGGGTCGTGTGTGTATGCAAAAGACGTGTTTATATGTATGCTTTTCGGAAATGAGGAAATTTTTCACTTGTTTTACCGCAAGCGAAAGTTGAAATGTACGGAAATTTGTAGAATTTGCTGTTTCAGCAGCTGTATGTAAAGCGAGCCTTGTCTTGGAGAAGGGGTATTAGTATGCGGTCTGGGCTTAGTAGGAGAGGATGAGTTCGTGGGAAAATGGATCCTTACAGATTTTCCTCCTCTAGACCTAGTCCCCATAAGGCTTAGCGTTGGGGTGGGGGAAGCTAGGACGGGGAACGCTGGGTTGGATGGGTTTCCGCATAACAGCAATGTCCCCCCCCTACTGCAACGCCACGCCCCCCCCCAATTTCTTCTCTGCTTGACGGCAGAAGGTCGTGTAGTACAAGAGAGTCACCCAGAATCAGAACTGTAGAATCATACCACAGAAACGTCCTGGTGACGAGGGACGTGGTGAGCGGTGAGGGGCTGTAAAATTTTTGCAATCGGCCAAACACCACTCTCGGTCCTGGCTAGATGTTTCAAATTTGCTAAGTAGAAGCGTTATCAATAGCTTTACGTTGTACTCTTTTCAGGTGTACTGCTATTTTTCTTTACTGGTATACTGTACGGTAGTCTGCCGCCAATTTTGTGAATTTTTCAACATTTACTGTTTCACTCTAGGCGCTCGAAATTCCAATAAGAAAAAAACGTGACTTCTGGTAGGTCTTACTTCCTGTTGTAACTACTTTACTATGCATTTACTTAAGAAATGTACTTCACTTCAGTATGATGGAGTTACTGTTTAACAGTGCAGTACTTGCATAAACTATCTCTGAAGAAACGTTCGAAGCTTTCGGCCAATGAGATGGTGTTATGTTGTAAATTATGTCGTGTGTGTGTTTTTTGTTGTTGGCATTGTTTGTTTTTAAGCGTTAAATTTCTTTAGGTTATTGTTCAGAGTAAATATCAGATTTAACTATTGATTGCTATTGATTAGCCCAGTGTGAAAACTCTCGGTACAATAATCAGCGAGCAGGGTTATTCTAGAGCAATGTGGTAACCTTCTCCTTTGCATGAGAGATTTCAAAACTTCTTTAATTTTTTTAGCACTATTTTTTTACTTTCGGTGCATTTTATTTTGGCACTCTTATATGCCTTATAAATATGTCCCCCCCCCCCTTGGTGAAGGCTTTAGAGAAAACAACTTTACATCCCAGTTCTCCGAAGAGGACAATAGCATATGGCTCCGATTTTGCATAGGATATTTCAAGTTTTTTTTTCATATTATATCGCTTGAGAAATGGGACGTACAAGTACGAACAGCAGAGCATGTGTGACTTTTTTGAAGGGATTCTAGGATTTCGACTGTGTGAACGTGGACCAGATGTGTCCAGTAGAGAACTCGGCTGTAATGCTCTCCGACTGGAACTCAACTGAATATATTTAGATGTTTATGAGAATACAAATAGATTTTGATGCGTATTGTAGTGCCAACGATGACGTCACAATTCTAGAACAGCATTTATTGACAAATGTAATCTCGCATAGTCTGATGGTAGTTCTTCTGACAGATTTCGGTGATCCCTGGTAGATGATTGACCTGAAAGTGAAAAGTTGAAAGTCTTTTAGTTAGAAAATGGAGTCCGCTTTCACGAAGCCTCACTAAGTACTAAGAAAAGCGCTTCTATACCTCGGGTACGAGGGCATTTAGGGGGAGGGGGACACGAAGTGTACGCGCATGCGGCGATCTTGATTTTCCCATTCGAAATTCGGCCGTCATTCAGGTTGTGTTTTGCCTTTATGAGATTGAAATAGCTGATCATAATCATCAATCAATATGTACTCGAAGCATACGTTAGAATGCCGCGTGTGCTTCTCTAAGTCCTACCCGGTTCACAGTGTTATATAGTAATTAGCTATGTTCTGTTCCGCGACGGAGTCAGCTGGCCAAGTGCCAATAAGGATTGCCTTCCTGAAGCAATATCCGACGATTTCAGAAATAGAAATAGTTGGAATAAGCTGAATCGACCTTGCTCCATGGTTGATGTTTATATAGATGTGGGAATAGTACGGTGCTGTTCCGAAGCCTAATGGATTTCTGTGATTAGTAACGATGTGAGACCGTACTTGACTCCAAAAAAAAAACACGGAAAGGGATTTCAGGGACATAATATTCAAGACCTAAAAGGGGCCTGAGCTCTGAGGTCTGACATGAAGTGCTCAGAGGTGGCACTATCGCAATATGCGGGAACATTGTGGTGGCAGTGCATTTAAAACCGTGTAAAAGTGGCTTTTTTTGTTAAAAATGGGACTAACCATAAGCCTTAGGCGGGGTTGGAGAGACTCAAAGGTGCGATAGATATTTTCGTTTTCCCCGGATCACTTACACCTCCTAGGCTTAGTTTTGGAGGATCCCTCCGTATTGCGATAGCGCCAAAAGATTTTATATTTGTGGAGGTCTTTCTAATGGAAATCCCTAGGCCCCACATTGTTGTTGAATGCTTACTGTATTCATACTTCATAGGTGGTGAATTGTTTGAAGACAGGAAGACTTTGAGGTGAACGGCAATTCTGTTGAATAGGAAGCGTGGCGTATCTAATGAAATTAGGTTAACGAAGACGTCTGATTGAGGTAGTGCTCTAATGAACGCTGATTGTAAAATGATGTCACACAACGTCCAGTGAATAGAGGTACCAGATCGATTCTATGCAGATAACGAAATACTTGCGGAGTTGTAACAATGGCATGATTCAACGGCAAACGACCTGCTAGGGCCTAGAGCTTCAAGCTGATAGTCATTAAAGGACGAATTCACGATGAAAAAGCAACCCATTTCAAATTAACCTAGGGATGGTGAGTGGTACACGAAAGAAGGAAGAACCATGAGAAACGGCCCAGAACCCGAGAAATGGGACCCCTTCCTTGCCCGTTGATTTGAGCATTGATGCGACTCTCATCGCTGTGCCCTCTTCAACACTACGCTCTCTCACCTATCTAATCACTCGCCACGTATAGACCTGCGGCGAGTGATCAGATGATCGGTGGGCGTGCACTGGCCCACCGCGCCAAGATTAAGCCTTAATAGGTTCGAGGATCAACACTCCTTCCGGGGGGGGGGGGCGAGACACATGATCGGCGGGGGGTGCCCTGCGAATTGCGCGTCAGTCCGCACCCTCAGGAGGTCCGCGGGTCCCTCAACTAGGTGAATTACTCCTTCTTCGACCTTCATTCTAATCGTGAATTCGTCCTTTAAGATCTTGGCTCGTTTTATACATTTTGCATCCAAAAGCACTACTGAATCTCAAAAATGAATAATTTATACATCTCAAAAGAAATATCCTGGTAAACCAAAGGCTCAAATGCGGTTGTGGATCCTCACACCCTAAGCACGGAAGAGGTTGTTTTACTCCGTCCCTTTCGTGAAAAGCGCCTTAAAAATTCGCTGAAGTCATATTGGTTAGCCAAGTAAGGTAGTCGAAATCAATAAGATGACCGATATTTTTCGACCGTGCTTTCGTTGTTTTGAACATGGCCTCCGGTAAAGGTTCCCCTCATAAGTTGTGGGTTTTGTCTAGGAAGCTTCCTGTCTGAGCGGATTTCAATAATCTGGCAGAGCCATGATTAGGATTCCACATTTCATTTATAGCATGAGAAATTAGAGAGTTACCTGTTAACGTCCCCAGAGGCGTCCAGCTGGTTTTAGTTTTGCATGGAAAGTTCCTGACGTCGGAATTTGAACGGCGCTATCCTGAAATTTTGTCTTTTTGGTCGTATGCTGAAACGCACAAAATTTCTAATTCTAATTAATTATTTTTGTTCTGTCGACCAAATAGTGGTTGAACGCACTTCCTAATGATGGATAGATTGAAAAGATGCAGAAAGTTGTTGTCATTGATGAATTAGTGGTCAGAATTGCAGCACGAAGGAGCTACGGTATCTTGCAAGAATCATAATTGTTTCACTAGGCAGATGAAAACTTCGCTTTTTGAACAAAATAACGTTCAACTTTCTTGTATATGAAATAAAATTTCAATTGAACAGGCTTGTTCAAAAAGTATGTGACTTCTTGTTGGGCCCGTTTTTGTTTTGTTGTGCTGTGTGTTTACCATCGCAGTGTGCAATGCTAATATTGGCGTAAATTCACATTAATTTGATGAATGTTCACATCGTGAACTGACTAACAACAGGCGGAACCCAACAGAAACAACTAAATATTCAATAAAGTCAATTTCAAGAAATATTCAACAAGGTCCTGCTCAGCCAATTTACGGCAGATCTTGACGAATCGCCCGTTGTGAGCAGATATCCGGAAGCTGAAAATTATACCTCTAGTTTCACTTATTGTTAGGCTAAACGAGAAACATCCTCTGACTGGATGGGCCATCCTATTGACTTTCTTGGGAGTCAGTGGCCTCGAAATTTGAAATAGGCAGCTGAATGTCCACGTCAGTTTCTCTATTTTTCCTAATGGTTAAAGGAATCTTCCACGGAAAAACTCCGCCTTCGTTCTCACAAAAAGACAATACCTTAGGCCCCGCAAAAAGAACGGAACATAAGCGTTGTTTTGATTAATAATTATGATAACCAGTTCGACTATGAAAATTTGAATTCCCGCCGTAAAACTTCCACAACTGTTAGCGGCGTGGAGTCAACACGTGCAAACGTGTCAAAAGCGTGAACGTGAACAGGATTCATGTTGGACCCTTCCCATAAACTGACACGTGGATCCGCACCTGCCATGCACTTCGTCACAGAAGCACTTCCGGTCCCGCCTACTGGTCCAATCCGGTCCCACAGATGAGCCTTTCCAGGGCTGTTTCTCTTGGGGGTTTCATCATTTTCGCTCCGAACTTTGCATATGGTCTTCAATGACCATGCCCAACACCTGTACACAAGATAAGAATGAAGCAGTCTTCCCGTGGAAGATTCCTTTAAGGTACCAATGAATGACCCTGGGCGGAGTAGGGGCAGGTGTAAAGCCTCGGTGGCCTGCATATCTGGCTGGCCAGCAACGACTGCTTCGACATTTGGCTTGTGAATAGTAGCAGCTCCAAATGTCAATTGCCCATTCAGCCTATATCTGTGAATTTCTAATATTTTAATTTCCCACTTCCAATTCCGTGTTCTCTCTTGGTAATACGTCGGTGATCGTTGGAGTCCAATTTCTGCCCATCGCAAGTTTCGTCGGGCGGAGAAGATCCTTGAACGCATTCTGCCATTGCTTCAAAAGAACAGAATAGAAATGAAGGAAATTCGTTTAAAATTCTGGTAATCAGATCAGAAGTGGTGAGTTTCGAACTCACCTTTGAATCGAAGCGTTTACCCCATCTGACGCTGCCTCGCCGAATGCTGTTGAGGCCCATCTCCCTATTCCAGAAACGACCTCTGGACTTAACTTTGTCCTTCAGTAGTCGCCCTCTGCTGACGAGCAGATTCTAGAATAAGCATTTTGGTATTGTGCAAAGACTGCATCAAGTCCTTTGCAGACAATCACAGAACAACGCTGGAGGAAGAATTGTGGGAGGAAAGTTGTGCAAGCACACAGGGAAAAATACGGCCCACATACGCACTGCAAGTCTGTCTCTGAGCCCACCTCAAATCATCATAATGAAAATCGAGTAGGTGCCATAGGTGCAGTCTGGAGTGTGCGCACAAGTAGGCCCAGATGACTGAGACGTGGGCAAGTTGGCGGACGAGCCGCAGTGTACTACAACGGCATAGCGTTAGGATAAATAGAATATGCCATCATAGTACGTCCCACATCGCACAGTACGTGCTGCGACTCGTCCGCTGACCCCGCCTGCGTCTCTGTAGGAGCAGCACTTGAAGTAATCTTTTGCGGAAAAATCTTGATCTATTTCAGCCATAAATCACTGGCTTGAGACTCATTATCCACGATAAGAATGAAAAGAACAGAAAAATTGCATTTGTTTTGGTAAAAAATTCGAAAAACCGAAAGGGCTGCTACGCGTTCAAAGTACCGCGGACATCTGTTCACAAATGCTGGCGACGGGGATGCTTCCACTTGGAGTGCCTTCACTAGAAACTCTTTCTGGCCTTCTGGCCTTTTGACTTATTGCATTCACATCTTACACTTCTACTCCATCCTATTCTATCGATCGATTTGTCTCTACTCTCCAAAATCGCGCTTTAACCCGATTCTTTCATTGCGTCGCCTGATACGTAGCCGGCCAAACTTCTTTCCATGCCTCGCCTTTGGCTCCGCCCGAATTACCTTCGATTGTCCATAGAGTGTAGTTTTTGTACGTTTGTTTCTCTTCGGAAACCGAATCTTCATGCGTGAAACTTTGTGTGCTGTTTCCAGTGATCACAACTGACACATTCATGTCAAGAAAGAATGCAAGAATTTTCCGCGAAGGATTCCGTTAAACTTTTGAGGTTCTAGGTAAGCTGAAGTGATTCCAGATGTTTCCTATTATCAGCCATTGATAAGAGGTGCAATTTTACACACCTACAACACTACCACATGTAAAGGAAGTTCCAGCATTACCCATAAGGTAAGTAGAAAACCTACAGCGTCACCCTGTGCAGACGTATCGCTGTTGATAGTACAGCGCTACTGTCATCTGTTTCTAGGGATTTTTCAAGAAAAATCATAAGCATGGGATATTTTACAGTAACGGTTCTTACAAAGAGATGTGACTGCGTTAAGAGGATTATCGAAATATCAGAGAGATTAATATTTCCACGTTCGCTGATGTTCACGAGCCACTACATATAAAACTACCCATGATGGAAAAATACAATTGTCATTCACACTAATCCTACATTTTAAGTCTTTAAATAACTGTATTAAAAAGAGGGGCGGAAGTGGTGTAGTGGCAAGTGGCACGCTTACCACGCGAGCGGTCCGGGGATCAAATCCTGGGTCGTGAGTCGCCCGGGCCAACCAAGCCTTCCATCCCTCCGGGGTCGGTTAATTGGTACCAGACTTGTCTGGGAGGATAAAAACACTGACTTGTACATCGGCTGGCCCCCGCAAGTCATTGTATAGGCCACATCGCATTCAAACGCCACTACGAATGTACAAATGGAAGTAGAATGCGTGCCGCATCCCAAAAAGGGATTGATCAACGGCAAATGCTTTATCCTTTTTTTCTTTATTAAAAAGAGACGAGAAGAGAAGAGAATACACAATTTCGTATTGGCTCTAGTAAATGGAATTCCAAAGCAGGTCAACTCACATGCCACGGGTTTACAGCAGAATTCTGACGGCGGCAGTCCACCTGAAGAGAAAAAAAATTTTCGGTGAAAGAGATGCGGTCCAGAACTAATAGCAAGCTGTGGTTGTATCTTGAACTGCCCATAATGCCCTTTCACCAATAATGCTCAATGACGTCATCAAAACCGCGACGCCTTACAGCCATCGTGATCATTGCATACAATGTGAAACTTCCGAAGTGGCGTCTTCAAAGTAGCACTGCCTCGGGATTCCGTTTGAAGCGGATCCGATCACTAGCCTAAGAGGTCTAATTTATGAATTTTTAAGAATTAGCAACACTATTTCCACTAGTAGACCAAAACTATGAAGCTGGCAAGCATTTTTGGGCCATTCTGCGCCATTTCTCTTGAGCTTTTATTTCTTTATACGCCCTCAAAAGATTTAAGCATCAGGCTATCTATTCTATCGATCTTATCCTATCCATATCCTATAACTATCCTCCACCTACTGATAGTCTCAGCTAGTCGCAGCCCGCTCCCCACTGAGCACATCTATAATAAAAATATTGACCTTGGAATTGAAAATTTGGAGCAGGAACAAACAAAGAAATAGATAGCCTTCATTTCATGCCTTTAGAAGCCTTTAGAATAGAGTTGGAGAAGATATGTCACCCCCCCCCCCTCCGCCCCTCTGCGCTCTTAAGAAGTTGAGAGATGAAACGTAATCGAATTTGGTTAGCCCTCCCTTTTGACGAGTTCCCCTCTCTGTGCTCATTCAAACGTATGCACTGCTGTACAGTACTAGAGGTGCACCTTATTCACGACTGTGTACCACTATCACTTATGGAATGTTACTGCTTTTATGCTAATGCTTAGGCAGAGTTTAAGAACACTAAGATACTAATGTAAAATACTGGGTTATAGGTTGCTATAGTCAAATGATATCTATGAAGCGGAGTAAAATTACCGTATCACAGTCAACAGCAACAGCGACATTAAAGGTGAGGTAAGCCATCAGAACTATGACGCACTTCATCGTCGTGTTCCGTGTGTAAATGATCTGAAGTGGCTCCACCTCTGTCAGATGTCAACTGGGCGTGGCCTGGTAACTTTGGCAAACGCTCGGGAATAAAGTTGTTATAATATCATGACTTCAAAGAACGATACATAAGTCTAGCCCTCGTATAGACCATAATCATACCTACAATGGGCGTAAAAGAGGGAGCCGATAGTAAGGCGACCTCGTATCTCCAAAGCTTCACTTCATTCCCCTTTCTAACCCCTCAACAAGTACACAGACTCGTATCAGGGAGAGGGGTACAGGAAACTATCCAATAGATTCAAGGTCACAATAGTGGCTTTTAGTTGCAGCACCTCGTACTGAGGGAGCTTGAAGTAGAAATGCTTCCAGACAGTTTCATTCGTTTACTTCGTGACATTTACTTCGTGTTCCCAGATTGTACATAGTATGGGGCAAGTGCAGGAGGATTTTTTGTGAAGGACGGGTATTCTAGTTCAGGAGGAA